AACCCCTTTTAACCTCCATATCAACCTTGTGATTGTTTTCAGGATTTGGATCAAAATGAAGATGAGGATTCAGAAAATATGTTGCTGCATGCAGTGGTCTATGGAGTTGAGATGCCCATCTATCATTGATAATTTTCCAAACAGGCTCATAACTTTAAAAAAAGAAAAAAGAAAAATAAAAGAGGGCATGTTAAAAAACAATTGAATATTAAAATTTAAATAATTAATTATATTAAATAAACAATTAATCATACATTTTCTTAACTTTCTTAAAATTTTCTTGAATATTTTCCTTGCAGCGATCCACCTCTTCATAACTGAAAGGCATTGCCGGCTTCTCATCAGAGTCCACCAAACAAAGCACCTTAATGAGTGGATTTGTAGCCTTTAAACATGTAGTAATATTCTTCCAAAAATTTGGATCCAAAACCACTTTCTCCATAAACTTTCCATCTCTCATTTTTGAATACTTACTTTGTTTCCATTTAGTGGAGGAAAACGTGGGCACCAATGCACCCTTAAATTCATTGAGGCACCCCAAAGTAAGATATGAGGTAGCAAAACGAGTGGCAGCTGGTCTAATTAAATCCCTAACTTTGGTAAACTGCTTCATCAAGGAAATAAGTAGAGTTCTTGAATAGATGAAAATTATTACCCTTTTTCCCTTGTAAATTGTATCTCTGTGGATCTCTAATTTTTTCTCAAAATCCTCCAACATTAAATCAACGCAGTGTGCTGCACAAGGTGTCCAAAATATTGTTTTCCTTTTCTCCATTAACATCTCTCCTGCAGCTTTATAATTAGCAGCATTGTTTGTAATAATTTGCACAACATTTTCTTCCCCCACTTTCTCAACGATATCATCTAACATCTCAAAAACTTTTTCAGCAGTTTTTGAAATATCAGATGTATTAATTGATAATAAAAAAACTGTTCCCATGGGACTATTCACCAAAAAATTCACTATTGATCGTCGTTTTTTGTCACTCCATCCACTGACATAATAGTGCAACCAGTTCTTGTCCATTCTTTTTTATGCTCCTCAAGCAATTCATTTCTTAGGCCCACCTCTTTCTTCAAATATGTTTCTCTAATTTGGTGATAAGAAGGAGGTTTATACCCAATCTCATATCTCCCAATTGCCTCACACATTTGTATAAAATTTGGATTCTTCACACAATTAAAAGGTATTGCACTTGTGTAAAAAAATTTGGCAACACATTAATGTACTTCCTCCTCCAGATCATGTTTCAACATTTGATTGATTGTGAGTTGAGTGCTTTTGGATCTCCTAAACAAAGAATCAATAGTATTCTTTTTTCCCATCACCTTTTCTTTTCTTGGTATCACCTCTTCATCACTATCATCACTTCCTCCATCCCCACTATTTAACCTCCGTTTCTTCTTTGAATGCTCCAATTGATTTACTAAAACTTCAAGTATTTTTTGTCTAACATCTTCTGGCACACTCAGACATGCTCTAACATTATTTTTAGTGCCTGCCAAATGATGTTTAAAACGAAATGTACTTCCAGTAAATTTCTTTGAGTAATACTTGTATTTAATTTTTTTAGAAGTACCATCTACATCAAAACCATGTTCCCAACTAATATCACTTCTATTTCCATATGCATTTTTTCTTGCACATTTTTTTAAAGAGAAATACCACTATTACCTGAAGCCATTAAAACCTACAAGTCAAATAAAAAAGATAATATAAATATAAATAATTGTTAATAATAATTGTTATTATTAATATGAACGATAAAAGTAAATTCAAAGAAATAAAAAAAATTAAAAGAATATTCCCAACTAATATCACTTCTATTTCCATATGCATTTTTTCTTGCACTTTTTTTTTTAAGAGAAATACCACTATTACCTGAAGCCATTAAAACCTACAAGTCAAATACAAAAGATAATATAAATATAAATAATTATTCATAATAATTGTTATTATTAATATGAAAATAAAAG